AACGCCTAAACATAATGTCACAGAACTTCCGTTTACCTTCTTTATTTGGCGGGCATAACCTGTTAAAGAGAGCCTTGTCAGACTGCGTAGATTCATGGAAGATTCGTGTATCAATCGCAGCAGCCAAAAGGTTATTTGCTGCTGTTATTGCATGAATATCTCCTGTTAGGTGAAGATTGAACTCATCCATTGGTATCACTTGACTGTAACCGCCTCCTGCAGCACCACCCTTGATTCCGAATGTTGGTCCTTGTGATGGTTGGCGGACACATGTCACAACCTTAGAGCACCAGGTGGAAAGGAAACTGCTCAGAGAAAAAAATAGACAGCAAATATAGGAGGCAAATGCTGACATGGATGATGACTTTTTATCAAATAACATGACAACAATAACCGTGCGTTATGATAAAATAAACAAATGCATGGACATCATTTGGTCAGCTGCTCAGTTATAAGTTACTGGTTTAACTTTAGCTAAGAATACAATCCTGAATGAATACAAGATAGACTTGATATCTAGGTGGCAGTCTCTAAGAAACTAAGGACAAAAGAGGACGATATATGCGAGCGATTCAGCAAAAAGCAATAACCAACTATTTCCTCTGTCCAAGATTTCTCTTCTAATCGCATTATATTCCATGGGGGAGAGAGGGCCAGGTAGTACCAATATAGCCAAAAAGTACATCTTTAATTGGATTAGTAAACAAGATTCTATCAAAATACAAGTCAATGGAGACTCTGACTCGAATAACAGAATCTAAATCTTGATTCAGAGACCTTTAATTTGAAAAACTCTTGTCTTTATCTATCCAACTTCTCAACGTATTTTTCAACTTCTCTCTGATGTCCATCAAAACCAAGTAATATTACCACATTTCTTCATTTATCTATTATCCTTCTTTATAAATTCAAATGACAGCAGATATTAGTTTACAAGCATATATTAGCTTAAAGTTAAGACACAGATAACTCTTCATTTTCTCTAAGTAGGTGAGACGGACATCCTACCAAGAATTCGAAGTTACCTTTTTATCAAGGAAAGCTCCCAAAGCCTGGCAAAGACCAACTGTGGTAGTAGACTTCCCTTCTCCAAGAGGGGTTGGAGTTATTCCTCCAACCACCACATAATACCCATCCTCACTTCCTCCAATCTCATCAAGCACGGATAACAGCACCTAGAATCACAATAAATTTGACATATCAGATCACCAACTATAAAAGAAAAGCCAATATATTAATATACACAAAGCGGATTTCACATCACATTCATGAGTATAACACTTCATTATAGTTTAAGAAACTCAATTTTGAAAAACTGCAAAATCAAAGTACCTGAGGAGTAATAATCACTCATCAACAAAAAGTAGTATTACAACATATGAATGATCCTTCCCATCTGTCTTATCCTTGAAATTAGTCGAGGTGCCCAAAGATGGCCCGGACACCACAGTAATCAAGAAAAAACATATGAATGCTCCTAAACTATTCATATTTACATTGGCTAAGACTAGTAGTTATCATGTCATTGACTACATACCGGTGGAGAAGAAATAAACTTCTTTTGTTATTGAGAACATAAAAGGAACAGCATCTATGCATCTCAATCACATTACTCTTCTATGCAAACCACGCAAAATCTAACAAATTATCAGTACTTAAGAGCAGAAGAGTATAGCATAATAATACACTGGGGCAGAGCTACCCTTATTCGAGGGGAGTCCATTGACACCCCTCCATCGGAAAAATAACAGTGTAAAAAAGTCAAAAAAGAATTATGCATATATACTACAGATATGTTGAATCTTGTTGGCTTCTACATGTTTAGTTCTTTATATTTTGAATCTCCTTAACGAAAATCCTAACTCTACCACTGCCAATAAACATCTATTTTTCTAATCACCAATCAACATAGATAACCAAAATAATACAGCAGAGTACCAAGTCAAAACACATTTTATCTCGATTCCAATTTTCTTCAACAAAGAAAGTAACTTTTCCAGATAATAACTATTAGTTAAGCGACCATATGAGAAACCAACTCGAACATATCTTTAACACATGAATCTACCTTCAATGGTAACATGTAAGAAAAGAAGAAAAAAAAGGTACTACCTTGGATTTATACTTCCCATACAAATCATAATGGTGAGAGCTAAGATTGAGTTCTTGAGCAATCTCAGAAATATGAAGATGTCAAAAAAAATATGTATATATACTATATATATATATGTTGAATCTTATTGGCTTCTTCATGTTTAGTTCTTTATATTTTGAATCTCCTTAACAAAAATCCTGACTCTACCACAGTCAATCAACATAGATTACCAAAGTAAACCAAAATAATACAACAGAGTGAGTACAAGCTAAAATCCAAGAAAGATCATCAAAAAGTCACTTTTTTTTTCTTGATCCCAATTTTCTTTAACAAAGATACTAACTTTCCAAGATAATAACTATTAGTTAAGCGACCATCTAAGAAATTAACTCGAACATATCTTTAACACATGAATCTACATTTAAAAAGGTACTACCTTGGCTTTATATTTTCCATACAAATCATAATGCTGAGAGCTAAGACTGAGTTCTTGAGCAATCTCAGAAATATGAAGAGGTTGAACAGAGTTAGCAATATCTATATCTGCTGGAACAGGAGAAACAACTTCAAGTTTCCTTGTTGTCTTTCCCATGATATCTTTTACACCCTTTTTTACCCCTTTACTAAAAACTTCAAAATCTTGATTTTTCCTTCAATGGGTGTTACCAAGATTGGATTTTTAGATCAGAAAATGGTTCAAAATGAAGAAAACAAACAGTCCAAAGTTAATTATTGGCAAAGGGTGTGTGAGAAAAAGAAAAAAAAAAAAGAGTTGTTGGCTTTGTTGAAGAGATGTTGACGCTTTAGCTTAGATAATCCTAATTTTGAGGCCTTTCTTGAAAAGAACTCTATCTGATGTGTGATGCATTGAACTTTGTGCCATCCAACATAGATTTTTGTGGCAGATTTGAGTTTTAGCCCGACAATTGGGGGTGGGGTGGGGGGTGGGGGAGAAATTAGTACTCATTGCGTCTCATTTTATATGTCATCTTTTTCTATAAATAATTGGTCCATAATATTTGTCATTTGATAAAATCAATGCATAAATTATAATATTGTTCCTTTTTTACCCTTGTGCGTTATTAGACTTAAAAATATACATTTGACCAACTTAGAAAAGTTAAATAAATGATCCATGTTCATTGGTTAAATTAATTAATCAAAATAAATTAATTTATATTCATTGATTGAAAATTTGAGTTCCAAAAAAATTAAAATAAGGGTAGAAGGGTAAAGTTACATCATTTATTAATGCAAGTGCAAAATAAAAAATATTAACATGTTGAGAAATCATAAATTTAAAATCTTAAATCTATTTTCATATTTATGTGACGATAAAGTATGCATTAAAGTTAAAATGGAACAATTAAGAATTATGATGAAATAGATATGATTTCTTCATTCTTGATAAAACATTTTTGAGAATGAAAATTTTTAATTAGTCCTACACAATATGAATTCGAAGTTAATAGGTAATAATATATCAAAATACTTGTTGCAACTACCAGGATTTCTTTTTTATTGGGATAAGGGTTTGAAAAATACCCAATTTTGGTTGGATTTGCTGTTGCGATACTAAACTTTCATAAGGACCTATTACCTCCCTAGACTATTTAATATCGTATTTTTTACTCCCTGAACTATTTAATAGTGTATTTTAAAGGTATATATATGTGCCCCGTGGACACATTACTATTTCTAATTTTACATTATTTTTTATGTCCACGTGGGCAAATATATATGTTTAAAATACGGTATTAAATAGTCTATGGAGGTAATAGGTCCTCATGAAAGTTTAGTATTACAACAGCAAATTCGACCAAAGTTAGGATATTTTTCAGACCCTTATCCCTTTTTATTCAATATATTAAAGAATAATAATAATAGTAGCTATTTTTTAAATAAATTATTTGCATTGAGATTGATGAACATATATTATTCCCACTTTACTGGTAAATTTAAATATGTCAAAAAAAATCCATCTTGAAGATTCTCTTTCAAAATATTAATTTAAAATTATCCACTTTCATTTTTCACCCACGAGACAGATTTTTTTATTTATTTTCAAATTTTAAATTCGAAATTTATGATTAAAAATGAAAAATTATATCTATCTGTCTATTAAAAATGAAAGAATTATAACCTCTTGCTCCAAATACAAACACCATCTTTTTATTTGAAATCCTTTTTCGTAATAAAGAGAATTTTTTTTATTTTTTCTAGAGTAAAGACAGTTGAATAACGATCATTGATGAGGGACCGTTGAATCTAAGGGAATAAAGTGCAGCTGGATGCAAATACGTAAAGTAAAATAAAGTTCACATGTTAATAAATGATTGTACTAGTCGATTTTGGACTAAAAGTGCAATTAATTGAATCCATATTTTCTTTATAAGACAAAAAACAGTGATTTATATTAAATGGATTAATATAAATAAATACTTTATGTTAACTATTTCCAAAGCCAAAAAATAATAATTATAAAAGTTTAATTAAGTGGAGATGCGGGGTATCGATCCCCGTACCTCTCGCATGCTAAGCGAGCGCTCTACCATCTGAGCTACATCCCCTTTTGTATACTATATAGTTTTTAACTATAATTAATGATTTTACTTTTTTCAAAAAATAAAAACTCCCTACATGATAAAATATGAGATTATTTTATTTTACGTTTAATTATGAGTATTGATTAATCCAAAGTTTTTCTTACCCCACTATTTGAATTAAAATAGTGGAAATTATCTTTATATGTCATCCTGCATACCAAACGACCCCTAAGAGTGATACAAATAAAAAAAAATATACGTTTTCTAATAAGTGGTTCAAACAAAGAGAGACATACTATTGAAGAACCTTATGTCAAAGTCAAGAGTTGAGCACCTTTCTGATAAACCGGACAAAATCCTTAACATATAAATTATAATATATATTTTAACAAACTCTCGAGGAGCACTCACAATCTTAGAGTTGGAGGTAGAGGGTCCCAACGTCATTTTAATGAACCATCAAGTTTCTGAAGGTACTGATGTACAATTAGAAAAAATGCAAAATCGGAACCAGCTAACGATCAAAAAGAGAGCACGTTGTCATGAGACTTTCTTGATAACCGTGGTGTAGGGATCAACTTGTGCGAACAACATGTTATCAGGAGACTTGTCATGTTAGTGTTCCAAACCTTTGATCTTGTCGAGATAGTTCTGCATTTGCTGCTGAACCTCTGGTGTAAGGCGAGCTCCGGCCATCGACTTGTACTGTTGAAATTTGAATTCATCACATTTCAAAGCTGCAGCTCTACATGCCCTGATACTACCTGGGAGGAGAAAATGTAAAAGTACTGTGTTATATTTGCAGCAAAGTAAACCCATCAATGATATAAAGTCTCGGGTTGTGACGGGATGGTTAGAAGTCTCGGGTTCTAGCCCTGAGAATGGAAAAACTCCTGGTAGGGAGCACTTCCTCCTTTAATGGGCCTCAAATAGCGGGAATCTGGATTAGTCAGGACCCCCAAAGTGGTACCGGACAGGCGGACACCAGGTAGGAAACCCAATGAACAATGTTAAAATGATTTCAAAAGAGAACATTTGTATTGCCCTAAGGCTATGTTGCTTGGACTCTTCAAAAATGTCAATGGATCCGTGTCAGATTCTCCAAAACTAGTGTATTTTTGAAGAATCCAACACGGGTGTGGCATCATTTTTTAAGGTCCCGAGCAACATAGCTCTAAGACACGTTTTTTTGACACTACAACTCACCACTTAGGTCTAGCAGGTTGAACACCACGGGGCAACTTCCTACGCTCCTGACCATGGTTATTGAAGCCCAAACTTTTTGATACTCCTCCCTCGATGCTCGTATGATACAAAGTTTTGTAATTGGATTCACATACTTCACTGCACAAAATATGAACTTTTGAACCTGCGCCAAGATTTCCACAGAGGAAAACAGAGGCAAAAGCCATGCTCAAAAATAAAACTTAAACTAATCAACCTCACCTTGAAATGAATTTGCTGATGAGGCGAGGCCACACTCACCAAAGTTTGTAAGAATGACATCCCTGATGGCTTTGGTCAAGTTGAATTGAGTCATTACGATGGGCTCATCTGATGCAGTTGCTTTATTTGGATCCAAATAAACCTCCATAACCAAGTATCTATTCTTAAATCCCACCATGATCTTCTTTTACCTAATGAACAACAATTTAAATAACATAATACACATCAGAGTAAGGTCTGGAGTAACAGAAACTTCCAAAGAAAATCAACAGATAAAATGCGTTGGGTAAGAATATGTAACTTCCTACAATTGTACAACAAAAATAGGCATGTATATAATCTTTTCGGGATGAAACATCCATGAGGGAAGGAGGATCGATTGCTTCTATAAGCTATAGTCTATATATGCAATTCCAAATCACCTTGTAATGAAGGCATAAAGTGAATTCACACACTTAAGTTGAATATAATCACGATCAAAATGCATGATGGATTAGCATAGTCAAAATTGGATTATTTATTTTTTACAAATATGCAATTGCACAACAACAACAACAACATACCCTGTGTAATCCACCAAGTGAGGTTTGGGGAGAGTAGGATGTACGCAGACCTTACCTCTACCTTTGTAGAGTAGAGAGGTTGCTTTCGAAAGACCCTCAGCACAAAACGAAAGTAACACAAACAAACCATGAATAACCATAAGTAAATAACATTGAAGTTTAAACTAAAAGGAAAAATAAAATTCATGCATCAAACAAGAAACTATCTAAACTAAAGTGACAAGACTTTTCCTGTTCACCAAAACACTCAAGTTCACACGTGTAATATATCTATTTGACGACAAACATTATACCATTTACAAAATGGTAAACATCATCAATTCAAAAGAAAACTCAAAAAGCAGATACATAACGTCTAATTTCAACCTAAATCGTCAATTTAAGGACCGCAATGACACAAAATAAAAAAAAATGAGCAATAAGGATAGAATTAAGAAACTGACTTTCTATTTGTTCGATTCTAGGTGTGATTACAACCCCAAAAAATGGTTAAAAGAACAACGCTTCTGGTTCGATAGACAATAGGTGGCGGTTGTGCGGTAGCTGGTTTTGAAGACCAAGGTATGACCAATGTGGAGGCTGAATGGGTCGAGGAGGTCACGTGATGAGTAAAGAGAATTGCTAGTTATGGTGATTAGAGGTTAAGGTTCTATTAGTTTATGTGGGAAGGAGTAGAAGAAGATGAGAGGAGGCAGAGGCTGATTGAGGATTTGGTGATACCGGGTGTCAAATTGCTTTGAACAGAGACTCAATGATATGTACATGGTCCAAATAGGGTATACCTTCAGTCAGTTTGATCTATTTTAAACTTAGGTTTGAGTAATTCATCTTCCCTCTGTCTTATTCTTCGATTTTAGTGCTACCTATTTGTTTCCTTTACTTCAGTTATCATACATTTTGTTGTTGCTACGTATTTTTTTCTTCATTGCTTCTAGCATGACTTCTTCACTTACTATATTTGCTTTACTTGAGCAAAGGACCTATTGGAAATAACATCTTAAGTAGGGGTAAGACTGCGTACACACGACCCTCCCCAAACCCCACTCGATATGTTGTTGTTTGGGTTATTCATCTTCTCGATTAATATATTCAAATCGATCAATAGGAAAAAGGTGATGATAACTATGATAATCTAGCAAAGTATAAACTTTCACAATAATACATCTTCTCGCTGGCTTATTCTTCGATTTTAGTGTTACCTGTTGTTTCCTTCACTTCAGTTATCGTACATTTTGTTGTTGCTACGTATTCTTTTCTTAATTGTTTCTAGCATGACTTCTTCACTTACTATATTTGTTTTACTTGAGCAAAGGGCCTATCGGAAACAAAATCTTAACCTTCCTAAGGTCGGGGTAAGACTGCGTACACACCACCCTCCCCAAACCCCACTCGATATGTTGTTGTTTGGGTTATTCATCTTCTCGGTTAATATATTCAAATCGATTCTAGCAAAGTATGAACTTTCACAAAAATACATCATCCATTACCCCATTCTTACGGCAGCTCAAGCTACAAACCAAATCGTAACAAGATAAAATAGCTCGGATTTATGGCAATTCAAAGAGCTCGGATTCAAATCGAGCTCTCTTATTGAGAATACTAAAAAAAAAAAAAAAACTAGGTTTCTGCGAGGAAGACCAAATAATTTTCACCTGCAGAAATTTAAGTACGTAAAAATCAAGTTTTTGGTGTAACTCGAGCAACTTACTGAAATTCAGTGATGGAAGAAACACGACCCACAGCGGGGGAAGTAGCGGCAGCACGGCGGTAACGGTGGCAGTCCGGTGGAGGGCAGCAGCGGAGATTTTTTATTATTTTTATTTTTATTTTTGTTTGAAGGGGAAGGAATAATAATGGCTAATGCATTGCCCTTAGAAATCTGTCAACCTTATTACGTATTGTTTCATAATGTATCGTATTATTATGTTTTACGAAATAACGCTACAAATTGGACCAATTAATGTAACTATTTACTCAAATTGGACTTGATCCAAACTATTTATCCTTAATGAGACGCATTAAAATACAATTATCCTTGATATCATGGGAGTATATATATATATATATACTCTAATGGCATCAAGGAGTAACTGAATAGTGTTTTCACTGAAGCATTGTTTTTTCTTCTTTGATATCATCACAATCAAGTAGGGGTGTCAAAAATGAACTCAAACATAGATAACTCGCCCAACCCGCCCAGAATTTTAAGGGTTGGGTTTAAGATCATTTGAATTGGATTCAATCTCAACTCATTCAAGCCTAACCCATTTTATCCATTTTAAGAGAATCCTCAATTGAGCCCAATTCAATCTCCAACTTCAACCCGTTTTAAAATTTTTTACTAAGATATGTTCTTATATTAAAGGTATGAATTATTATCTATTTAACATCTCTAGGATTTATCTATCCATTTGTTACTTTTGAAAAAAAAAATCTTGAGCGAAAATTCGAATTGTGATTATAAAAGTTAAATATCATTATGTTAAAATTATTGAGATTAATCGGGTCAAGACCCAACCCGTTTTTTAGCCCATTTGAACCCAACCCATTTGAGCCCAAATGTAAACTTGGCGGGTCAAGACCCAACCCGATTTCTATCTCAACCCATTTTAATATCTCCAATTTCAATCCAACCTGCCCATTTGACACCCCTAGTATCAAGCATCAATTTAGCTAGTTTTCATTGAATCACTATCCCTTCCTCTTTTATACCATCCGAATATATATAAACTCTAATGGTATCAAACAGTAATTGAGGAGTTTTTTCACTGAAACACTACATGTCCCTCCTTGATACCATCGGAGTATATATATACTCTAATGATATCAAAGAGTAATTGAGTAGAGTTTTCACTGAAGCATTGTTTTTCTTCTTTGATATCATTAGAGTGTATATATACTTTGATGGTATCAAGCATCAATTTAGCTAGTTTACACTGAATCACTACCTCTTCCTTTTTAATATCATTAGAGTATATATAAACTCTAACGGTATCAAGCAAACAGTTTTTTCACTGAAGCATTATATGTCCCTCATTGATATCACCGGAGTATATATATACACTCTAATGATATCAAGAAGTAACAGATTAGTATTTTGACAATTTACGTTCTCACGATGAATTGTAGCATCTTCAATAGGATCTGACTCAATTATGTTTGCAAATTGGATTAGTTGCGTATTTTTTATGAGTTTTCAGTATATTGGGCATGCTTGTGAGGCAGCAAGGTTGGGCATCTGTGTGAAAGTGCATATTTGATTTCAAAATTACTTGTAGCAACATCCTTCAATAGTTGTTTTGCTATTGTGTTGACCAGATCTATGAAATTAGAAGTAGAATTGAATAAAATTGCATCAACGTGATAATTATTGTAGTGGTTGTTTGAATCCCAAGTTTCATTGTGCTGCACACAAATTGTAACGTTATCCATCACTGGAATTCGCGTATAAGATAGTTTGGGGAAGAAGAAGACAACTTTGGGAAAGAAGGAGGCAAAATTCACATGAGTAGTTTTGCACTGAATTGTAAAAAGGGGTATAAAAGTAATTGGGTATCAACTTGTAAATAGTTTCGTTTTTTGGGGTACAAATGTTTTTTCCCTTGTTTTATTGAATACAATATTTGACTAAATTGTATCATTTTTTGTCGTTATATAATGTCATACATCTATAATTTGATGATAAACCTACAAGAAAATTAGAATATCAAGTAGAACTACTATGAAAAGGTAGGGTAAAGAATAAAATAGAATTATTAAATAATAAGTAAAGACAAAATGAGTAGAAAATATTAAGGTAACGACGTGATCAAACAGATCAATCGTTACAAAAAATGAGTCTTTTCGTTGTTACCTTACGATGGATTTAAACGATATGATACAGTAAAATTTAAATAACAACTAAAACAAACGTTGTATTTAAATTAACAATACAATATAACGGATAACAACTATTCGAACAAGGTGTTAGCCACTCAAATTACGGCTTGTTGCAATCGATCACGAACATGTGATAAAATATACTTAGCAGAATCTATTAGCCAGTTTAAGATTAGAAATTGAGGTTGAAATTTTATGCATATTTCATAAATAAGTTGTCTTAAATTCTATGACCAAACATCTACTTACTTCTTTCTATATAAACGTATCAAGTTTTGATCGAACTTTGCGGGTGATGGTGCACGACTAACCTAATAACGTTTGACCCCCTAAAAGTGAGTTTGGTACGGAAATAGTAAGGGCTCACTTTTAGGAGGTCAGGCTAGGAGCAGAGCTAAGGATAGAAAAAAAAGTGTTTGATCCATACTCTATCTATTAAAACACAGTCTGATAGTTTTGTTAATGAAAATAATTATTTCACTCGATCTACCAACACTTATCTTTCTTTTAAGATCTGCTAATCGAGACAAGCTCTAATTTTTAAACTTCAAATTAAAATCAAAATATTAAAGGAAAAATGTAGAACAAACATTAATTTATAACCATGTACAAAATTATTAATCACTTATAACTTATAAGATAATTACCTATGCATTACTTAATTATTATTTTATTTAAAATTGGTAACTAACTAAGCGGGTATTTGACCAGATTATGGAGTAGATTCTAAAAAAAAGTTATTCTTTTAACTATTTATATAGCCATTAATTTTGAAAACAGTCTTTAACAAATTTTCAAGTTCTACAAAATAATTTTGGGGACTTCACTTACAAAATTGTTGTTTTTAAAAGTTCAAGTAAAAATATATATTTAAATACAATTTTTAAGTTTTAAAAATTTAGATTTTTAAAATATATGGTCAAATGGAAGCTAATTTTATTAAGCTCTGTTTGGACGTGATTTGAAATCAGATTGATAAGAAGTTAAAGTTTTGTTTGGACATACAATTTGAATTTCTTAAGTTATGTTTTTTTTCTCATAAACATGAAAACACCACAAGTTATAAATAATTATAAAAAAATCTCTAATTCTTATACAATCTTACCAAATGAGCAAACTATAATTCATATCATCTTACCAATTTACATCTTAAAAATTGATCCTACTGTTTGGAGAACCTGATATTTGTAATCATAATTTTGAAATTAAAATTCTATTTAGCTTGTATTTGAACATGTGATATGAAGTCATGATTTCAAATCAACGTTCAAACATGTGATTTGAAATCAAATTCTCCAAACAACATAATTTGATATTTCAAAGCATGATCTCAATTATTTTTTTTAAAAATGTAATTGTTGACTATAAGTTTAAATTATATATATATATATATATATATTAGCATTTTAAAGTTTGCAAAAAAAAAAAAAACTCATGCTTGGCATGAAAAAAATAATTATATCATGAAAGAATTATGTTAAAGAATAGTTAGTTGCTATTATCGTTGATTTCTGCATCCTTATAAAATTTTGTATGTTTGAAATCTTATAATCACAAATATTTATTTATAAAAGAACACAAAATATGAAAATCTTATAATCGAAAATATTTATTTATAAAAGAACACAAAATATGCAATTTATCAACGTGACACCTTAAAATATTTCGATATCTTATTTAAAATTATAGTTTGCTCATTTTCATAAAATTATATAAAAATTAAAGAAATTTTGATAATTTTCACAATTTATGACATTTTCATAAAAATAATCATCCAAACTTCAACTTCAAATCGAATCTAATTTTAAATCACTATTTTTCATGTCCAAACAGGACCTTAAATAGTACTATAAATATGAGCACCTGATAAATCTTTCATCCATTGATACATATTTATGAAGCAACAAAAACTCTAAAGAGTAGAAGAAGAAGAAATTTGAGAGAGAAGTAAAACCCTAGTTTTGCTTTCAATTACAAAGCCCCAAATCACCACCACCGCTCCTCGCCGGCCAGTTTTCCGGTCAGGTTCATTTTTTGAATTTTTTTTGTTTTTTTGAATTTATTTTTCAATGCTATGTAAGATTTTCATTTTAGATTGCCATGTGAATTTTTTTTTTTGTGTGGAATTGATTTTGTATAATAATTTTAATTTTTTTTTGTGTGTGTGTACATGCCCTTGTTCTGTGTTCTGAGAATTTGTGTTAGAGATATGAAAAAAGTTTTAAATTGATAATGATTATGTATGGTTACTATTAGAAATGAAAATAGCCTTTGTGTGTGTCTCTACGAGGTAGGGGTAAGCTCTGTGTACAGTGGGGTGTGTTGTTGTTGTGATTTTGTAGTTATGTTGAGGTGATTCACTTGGTTTAGAAGATCTAAATCCCGGTATTACTATTCGGAATAGTTAGATTTCCGAATTTGTTGCTGGTGGGAGGTGACATGTATGTGGAATTAATTGAGGTGTGCGAAAGCTGGTTTGAAGACCATGGTTATCATACCAAAAATAAAGAATAGTAGCTTTCCCCCTTTTGAATTTTGATGAGTACTTGATTTTATTTTATTTTTGTATGCTCTTGTTATGTGTTCTGAGAATGAGTTTGAGATATGAAAAATGTTTAAAATTGGTAATGATTATATGTAATTACTATTTGAAACAACCGATCTATCTCTACGAGCTATGAGTAGGGGTAAGGTTTTGTATACACTGGGGTATGTTGTTGTTGTTGTGATGATTATGTGTAATGATGTTGAAGTGATTCACTTGGTTTTAGAAAATCTAAATCTTAGTATTACTATTCAGAATAGTTAGCTCTTCAACTTTGTTGCTAGTGGGAGCCGGGAGGTGACAGGTTTCCCATGGGATTAGTCAAAGTGAGTGAAAAGATGACCCCGACACCACGGTCATCAAAACAAAAATAAAGAGTAGTAGGCTTCCCCCTTTGAATGAGTACTTGAATTGTATATGATGATAAACTTCTTGAATCTACCTTTAATCAGAAGAAGAAAATTGAATCTGATCTTGCATAAAAAATCGTGTCATTTGGTATTAGGTGTTGTATCTGCTTGCACAAACTCTGCCTGTTGTGTTGTGTTGCTTCACGGAATCTCAAAAGATGACAAAGGGAGCGGCAATGTCGTCTTCTGCTGTGTCGGTTCGTGATAACGTGATCAATTTGGAAGGTATTTAATCTCTTGATAAGTATGAATGATGGCATCATGTTCGTTCAGAATCTTTGTCGTTTACCCCTAAAAGATTTATTTACTATTATTTCAGTTTGTGAAAGATCAATCCGTTCAGAAGGTGAATCTCTCAATAAGTTGGATGATGATACACTCGTTCAAATTCTTTGTGGTTTACCCCTTAAAGATGCGGCAAGAACGAGTGTCCTTTCACGTAGATGGAGGCACTTATGGCGCCGTTCACTCATGTATCCGTTGAATAATATGTAAATTTCCATCAAGAACCTAATGCTAGTACTGTGACCCGTAAAGTGAGTATTCTTGCATAAATTTTCTAGTCCTTTTTTAAACTCAAGCTTATTCCTAGTTCTATGGATGATTAGATTTATTTTACCATCAAGAAGCAAGTCAATAGCTTGTTTTACAGCTCCAATTGAGAAACAATTTATTCCGTTGATGAAGTGCTTTTATTTATTTGTCGTTTCATAAATTTTCTCGTTTACATGTTAACAAGGAAGAAATCGAAACCCTTTTTATCAAATCTGCATTATCTGGAACGTTCACGCATAGGTGATATGTCTCCAAAGAATTGAAAGTAAATGACACTTCACTGTCCTTTTGGAGTTTGATGTGTGCTTTTACATTCACTGAGTTACTTTGTTGTATTCAATTTCTAAGCATTCCTTTATAGGGCTAGTCTTTTAACATGTATAGTGATATCAAGGCTCATTCTCAGCTTGTAAAGCTTGTCTCCGAGTGATTATGGTCGAGCTTGATTTTGACTGGTTCTACTATTTTCAAGTTCTCGAATTTGACACAACGATGCAAATTAAGTCCTATAGACTTTCTTTCATCCTTGGTTAGTGTATTTCCCTTGATATATTTAAAATCGCTGTCTGGAAAAGAAAGAGAATCGTAGTTGTATTTGAATTTTAACATATATATCTCGATTGTCAAAGATATACTCCCTGTAAATACGTCTTTAACGGATTCTTTTTTGCCATCACATTGCAGTGAATCTTGAGATGATGTTTATAAAACAGATGTTGTGAAGATAATAGAGAAAGCAGAGGAAGATAGCAAAGTTACCTTTAGGTGATTTACATGAAAATGTTCATAGCTAAAATATTTTAGGTACTTTTTGTTGTTCTTTGGTTCATACCAAAGATGTTCTTTTTTTCTTTTCTTCACCTCCCACCCCCACCCC